TCCCTCTCTCGCGCACATCGGCTTGTCTGCCCCGTTTGCCAGACGTTCGCTTTTCTCACCCTTGCACGAGGGTTCAGGCTATAATCTTCCGCGCCCACCTACTGATCCTTACATTGTACGGAATTTGCGGACTATTCACCGGACGTGGAACGTTCGCGTTTATGTACGCAACGCGGTCATGCATGCAGGCATTGGCGCCTCGCGGTCGAAGTATAAAATAAGCGAGCACGTCTACTTCCGGAAATGAGCCGGAAAAGCGACGGATAGCGCGTCGCGTGGTAAGACATAAAAAAATTGCAATATGGACTGCTGCGGTTCTTTTAGTTATTCGAGATGATTAAGCGAACTTGTACTAGCGTCCATCGCATTGTAAAAAACATAAATAATGAATTTATTAAATTAATGAAAGGGTTTAATTCTTTCTTTAAACCATTTGAGTAACATTATATCTATTTATGCATATATCCTATATAGAATAATATATTTATGTATTGTATTATCATTTTTATCATTATTATTTTGCATCTACGGTTTAATTGCGAATTATATATAATGCATATTCAATGAAGCAAATATCAAAGTAAATTATAATAAAATTTATTTACATACGAAAATGTTATACACATAATCAAGGAGAATTCGAAAATTTCTCGAATCAATATTAAAATACAAAATTGTGTTGATAATTGTTTAATTTGTATTGGGGCGAAAATGTATGACATAATTTACGTCAAATGCAATAAAAAAATTAATTTAAAAAATCGATATTACACATTTTAATAAAGGCACATCATAATACGCGGCCGCTGACTTGATACTGACTTTGTTGCCTTCGTGATTGTTCACCGGGCATTCGCGTTTATGTGTATGTCATGGTCATGCATGCGGACATTGGCGCCTCGGTTCTTGGACGCCCGGCTGGAGAACGTACGCATAAAGTATGCATATCTCCACTTCAGAAAATACGGGTATATCAACCGCAGAGGCGGCGGTAGATGACCGGACAGCGCTCAGCGACGTCGAAAGGAATTTTACTTCACCGGTGGTACACGATGATGGAGTTCGCGGCTCTTTCTCCGCATAGAAATTACATTCGACGGATGTACAGGAGCAATTCATACGAACAAAACATTCTATAAATACAGAAGGGAAATTTTAGTACTCTCTCTTCTCTCTTTCTCTCTCTCTCTCTCTCTCTCCGTTAATATCTTGGAAAGCAATCTCTCTCCGCGAATGTTGCCTCACTTTCTAAATCGCACGATTTCGCTTGCGTGAGATATAATGTACGTAACTTCAATTGTAATAACAGCCGAGTAAAAAATAATTAAAAAGGAATGACAGGACGGAAGCGACATCGAGTCGGCCGACGAACGGCAAAAGATAACATTTCGAAAGGGTGATCACGAAACTATACAAATAAGCGTCGTAATCGTAGGAGGAAAGGACGTGCCCAGTGATATCGGCGAATTCTTTCGCGAGTGAGTGCCGAAAGCGTGCGAGGGAGAAGGAAAACAGAAAAGAGTGACTGTAATGGCAATTACGTTCGCGCGTATCGCTGATTCACGCGTGTCTCACGTGTGTGTACGCAACGGTGAAAGCGTACGCAATAAGTTAATCGCGTTAGCGGCTCGCTTGATTAAACGAGCGATCAGCCTGATGGCTATCCGCCGTGGGCGCGGTCGGGCATTAATACAAAACTCGATTGTCATTCGTCGCCTGCGATCCCGCACCCCCTGATTACGTCGATTCATTAACCGTGGCGGTTACCCTGCCGGCCGCGTAGCGGAGCATTATTCCGGCCTCGAAAATCAACTGACCTTTATCAACGTCCCGTCGAGAGGGCTAAAATTGTCCGCACGCGAAGTGTAACGGTAAATGATTGCGATCGATAAATCGACTAACAAGTAGGATAACGAGATACGATGCATTTAAATAATTTAATAGAACTTTAAGTTTAACTTATATAGTTATTACTTGAATTTTTCTAAAAAGGCAAACTATAATTTATCATTCTTATATTACTTTAAATACACGATAAAATAGAATTATTATATCGTAAAGTTTTTTTTTTTTTTTTTAATATTAATGCGCGTACCTTCTTGTGTTCATTTTCCGAAACGCGACTTGTAATGCTCGATTAATAATCGTGGATTGATCCCGCGTTTGTTGAGGCCGACACGACAACGGGAGGCAACGAGATGAGACGGATTTTCGACGTCGACGAATGACGCCCTTGCGCATTTAAAAGTTTTCTCCTCGTTAAGACGTATTCCCTGGGGTCGTCGTCGGCAGAATCTAACGAGAGAGTGCCATGTTCCGCACTGTTGTTTCGCCCTCTTTCTCTCTCTCTCTCTCTCTCCCTCTCTCTCTCTCTCTCTCTCTTTCTTTTTCTTTTGCTGCTAGAAACACATTTATTAACGGCAGCTCGGCTCATCCCGCCACTAAGTACCGGTAAGAGAGTACCCTCCCTGTTGCTCTTCCTCTTACCGAGAGTCTTCATTCACTTTGGGTCGGCTGTCTGTCGTCCCGTTTGGGGGCGCAGAAAAAAAAGACGTCACATTGTCGACGCCTTATTAATTCGGAGGCGAGGGTGGAGAGGTGGAGGCTGCAGGCATCAGCGAGGATGCTCAAGGTGTGTCGCAGGGTAGGGAGTCCTTTGAAGAAATTAAAAGAACAGAGGGTATAATGTGAACACATCCATTTCCACGACTGTCGCGCGTCTCTTCGCCGTTTTCCTCGCCCTCCGCTTTTCTCTTTTTCTCCCTCTGTACTGTTTCTTTCCCTCCTTCTTTATCCCTCCTTCTACGAGAGCAAGATCCATTAACATTGCGCGAACTCTCGCTAAGCACCAGTCAGATAGACATCTCAAGTCTTGTCACGGTTTCTTAAAATCCGACTTATATTCCGAGCTATCTTGACCCGTTCTCTTTAAATGTTTTCTCTCACTCTCTCGAATCTTTCTCCTTTTTTTATTTTTTATGCGCCGGGAAATCCTAAAGTAACACGAGAAATCATTTTCTGATTGAAGCGATAATAGTCTTGCTCAGTTAATAATAATAATTTTATTTATTGATTACTCTTTATAAATTCAGGCGTGTATATAATTGATAAAAATATAACTTATTACCGTCGTTATTGCCATTGTGCGTGAGATATATCTCGCTATCATATTTTAACAGAATATATAAAATATATGCACTCAGTTTCCAACTTTAGAGACATATCTTTCGGACGTTGCCGTTTGAATGGCGCGCACCCCTCGCGTACATTTGTATCAATTCACATTCGGTAATATTCGCGCGTTTCTGCGAACCCGAAAAGAGAAGTACACCCATTCCCGCGTGAAGATCGGTCGTCATAATGTAAGGCATCTGCGTAAGGATGGCAAACGAGGACGTTAGCCGAATAATGCAAAGCAAACCCTAGCTGAGATATAGTCCGGCATTTGTTCATATTAAGGCGCTGTCATGGCTCGCAATGTTCGCGGGTCACCCCCTCGTTCTCTTTCCCCCCGCCACCCTTTCTATCCGCGACATTTCGGCCGCGTGCCTGCGTGTATGTTTTGAAATTATATAGCGCGAGAACGCCCGACGTCATTAGTCAACTCGTGCCGCATCTCTCGCTGTTAACTATGTGTATCTTGAGCACCCGTTACATTGCCATTTGTCAGGTCCGCTTCGTCGTACGTGCGCAATTTCGCGCGTTAAATCGCGCAGCCAGCGCGATATTTCGGCCGGCTATGACAACTCGCGTCCGGGATTTGTCTTGGACCGATGTTTGCCAAGCAAACAACAAATAAACGCTGCAATGTGAAAGGAATACATTGCCAAAGATCGCGAAAGTTGCATCTCTTCACATCAGTCAGAATATAATTCACGCCACGTTTACGAGCGTCAACTTAAGCAAATATTTAATTTCGTACTTTTAACGATAAGATGAATTTTATTGAGGAGTAATATCCGAGAAAATAATAAAGAAATTTTACGTGAAAATCAATAATCGTCATTCTGGAATTGTCTTTGGACATTCAATTCGACGAGAAGCGAAGTTAAGACTTGTCGTTTGGCAGGTAGACTTTGATCATAAGTGACACGCGCGACTTTACGGTAAACCTAAGTTCTAAACTAATAAGGCAACATGCGGATGGCACGATCGGGGGGGAAGGGCGAAGGTAGAAATGGCGATGGAAGCAGAAGGGTCCAAGTTTCATGGAGCTGCGAACCAGGTCACCGATTACGACGTTGATCGTCTACGAGAGACAACCAAATTGGATAAGTTGAAGGAGCGGAATCTTCTTCGTTGCCTATGTGACTCCTATTAAACTTCCTAAGATTTAATTTCCACATCTTTAATTTCCATGCATTTTGAAACAATATTGCCGTATCGAACGTTAACATCGAATATCTTTTTCTCTCTGTATGTATATATTTTAAGCTTTTAAAAACTTCTTTTATAATTCTTACACATGTCACGATTTTTTGAATAGAATAATTACTGGTATAAGCCATATCAAACTTTAAATTTTATAATATCTATCCTTTATTTTGTGAATCGGTATATTTATTATTTTTATTTTATAAATATTTATGTTGCTCCACATCCAGTCTTTTTTTGTTCGCCTCCGAAATATTGAAAGCGAAAAAAGAAAATTATCGCTGATAGAGCACCACATTCGTTTCGCAGTTCGAATTTTCACGTCGAAAGAGAACGAAGAGCGCGCGCTATAAGTGGTTGGCGTCGGGTGTAAATTTGCATTGAACGAAATGAGGCGCTATGGAGCATTCCAGTCCGAAGTTAATAGCTTCCCAACGATTAACTGTATCTCTCCACCCACCTACCACCCATGCCCTGTACGCTCTTTACTCTCTCTGTCTCTTCTCCGTTCATCCGACACTCGCTCGCTCTCTCGCAACCCTCGTCCTCCTTCTCTCTCGTCTTCCACACATGTCCTTCTTGCTCCTCTCGCCGCACGCGCCATGTCCTCTAGCTACCTATATCGTCCCTTCTAATAATGTATGTCCTAAAGGTCGCGAAATAACTGACTTCGTCGACGAATATCGTGAACGATTGTCGACCGATCGAATGGCCAAATCGTAAATGAATCATAAAAAAAATTAAAAAATGAACGCGATGGATAGTAGCTGATCCATCTTTTATGACGACGAGTGTGACTTTTGCCTGTCTGGCGGATCATCGATGGCACGTGGGGGTCGGAAAAGGCAGCGCCACTGCGGCAGCCAATAGTTTCCAGGCGCGTAAAGGCGCCACGGGGGTTATAGGGCATAATTTAGTGGACAGTTTGATATACAAACAATCTTTAATGAAATTCTTGGTGTTCATTAATAACGCATTACAGCCTCGCGCGCCAGTGTGTCGGCATCGGTACCCGGGAATCCCGCGCTGTCTCTTTCTCTCTCTCTCTCTCTCTCTCTTTCCCTCCCGCTCTTTACCACCCCCTTTTATACCCTTCCATTTTCCTGCTCATACCGCTTCCGTGCCACGCGTACCATCGTCCGACACCCTTTATCGCCCTGGCTTTCAACCAACCCTCGCTCTCTCCGCCACCAGAATATCCCGGATGAATCAACGTGCGAATATGTTACACATTGTCATAGTAGCACTCGATTTTTTTATTGATTATACGAGGATAAATTGACGATAGTTCTTTTTCTTTTTTAAAACATATTAAATTTATATTATATCATTATATATTCTCAATCTAAGATAAAGGACTGAGGGATTTAATGGAAATAATATTTTTCATAAATTATGACAATTTATTTTTGTATTAAATGATATTCTACAGAAAATATTACTAAATTATATTCTTACTTTTATTTTGAAAAGTCAGTCACGTCTTACGCGAGTTTGTTTCACTTGTCATTCCATCTGCACGTTTTCGCAATATTACGTCGAACGAGAGACGCAACGACACTCGATATATCGAGACGAAAAGAAGTCTCCCCCATCAGAGAAACCCGGGGAATAACCAGCCTCTGGGTAGGAAAAAAAAAGTAATTGCCCCTTGATACACGCCGATACCCCACCTGCGGGGATGCCGCCTCGTAATGATGTTCGCGTTGGCGAACTTAGTTCGAAATTAAATATCGGGGCAAGGAGAACGACGGGGGTGGCGGAGAAAAAGAGGAATCGGGAGGTTGCGAAGGGAAGGGTGGAGACGACGTTGTGCACCTGCCTTTTTCCCGGAGCGGTACGATAAAAATCAAACTGGAAAACAAACGAGAAGCGGGATCGTATTATAAAGTTTTTTAATCGATAGACGATGCGCGTCTCGGAGAAAGAATGGGGGACAGGCGAAAGAGGCAGGAAGACGGGGAGATATCTCGCGGGTAGAGGTAGATGGATAGACTAGGGTGAAAAAAAAAAAGAGAGAGGGTCCAAAAGAGAAAATGGCGCGATCGGGCGAGGAATCCTGCGGCGTGCTTACTGGCTCGTGTAATAATGAATTTATACCTCGCGCGGAAACGTTTTCGGGATCGGCGACGTACCACTTTTCTTTCTCGCCTCGCTTGCCTTCTTAAAATTTTAATTAATGGAAAAGTTCTAGCCGATGAAATCTTTATTCAGAGCTCTTTATTTTGCGGGTTCAATGATTCAATTCTGTTATTAGCAAAATTGTGTATTTATTATAAAAATTCATAATATATATTGTTAGAACAATAAAATAATTTAATATTTGACGATTGATTATACATATACATATATCAGAATAAATACTAATTTCTTTTTTTTTTTTTTTTTTTTTTTTTTTTTTTTGGATCCACCAATTTTTGATATCACGAATGTACTGATAAATGAGACAGCAACGCAGTTAGCATTATGGGGCAACTTGGGTATCGCTCTCATGGAGCTACCGAAACGATGGGGCAAGGACGCCGTTTACGAGGGCGGCAAGGAAGTGATTCTCTGCACGTAAGTACATTCAAAATCTTTGTTACTTCTATGAAAATTTTGCTTATCTGCGATAACATCTTAAATATTATATCAGCAGTAATAGCCCACTTACTTAAAAGTTTGACTATTTATATTAAATCCGCCAAAAAATAAAATCTTAATATAAACGATTGCATCGTATTCACAATAAAAATTGTGAAAATTATATTAGAATTATAATTTATATTTATTATTTTAATCACATCTATTTGAGTTTTTTAAAATTAATATTATAAAACGTACAATAAAGTGTTTAATAATTATTTGTTTTAACGATTTTCCCTCAAATATCTACGGGGATATAATAAAATAATTAAATTATAGCAATACCGGGATATTCAATATCATCGATGTCATTGGTTACATTGGGTCTTTATCAATCCGCGTTCCTTAAAGAAATGCGCGTACCGAGAAAATTATAAAAACGGAGATAAGATTAGCGGCGGATAATAAATCGCGCTATCTGCTTTTCCCCGCGCCGTCACCGTGTCTCCCATAGGCGTCCTAATATCCTGTAATTAAGAGGGTGTTACGGTGACGCCCGGGAAACCCCTTTGGTCTCCCTCTTATGGAATTAAGGTGGCTTTACTCGGTTAGTTTTCAAAAGTTCCGGGGGACCAGGAAGCACCGCTGAATACTAACCGCCTCATCAACGACACATGCCACCCGAGACTACTGTCTTGCGTAACATTACCCAGCGGTGTGTGCCGCCCCCGGCCCCAAGCTCCGGCCCCCGTTTGCGCCCCTGACCCCCGGCTGTAATCTTTCGGGCGATTAGAATGTCGCGCAATTACGAGCGCCGTTGAAGATTACTCTCGTCCGCGCATCGTTGAATCAAGGTACACTCGATCATCGTCGATCAGAACCCCCCTTGTATGGATGTAGCATTCTCGCCTCCACCTCTATTATGCATTCTGTTACATTGACAATTTCTCCTAATAGTAGCATGATCGCAATTTCGTACGTTCAGAATTCGATCTTTAACCCCGAAAGAAAATCTTAAAAGATAGGCTAAGATTTTTAAGCAAATCTTTTTAAATCTTTTAAAAGAACGATATGTGCGATATATAAAGCTCTATTACAAAAAATTCGAGTATCGATGAGAAAAAAAGGGTATCGCATGCGGAGCTACAGAAAACTCATCACTGAATTAAACGGTAATTAATAGCAAAATACGATGACCTTTAATCCACCGGCGGTATATAAACGCGAAAGGGGTAACCGCTCGTTTTAAGTCGTCCTCCGCATTATAATTTCATAATAAGCTGAATTCAGAATAAATGCAGGTACTTTCCTGCCGACTTCCTGCTAATTCGTAATTCCGAACTTTTTCCGGAAGCGAACGAACCGCTTGTTCCTCGAGAGGGAGAGGGAGAAAGAGAGGGCGAGGGCAAAGAGAAGGAGAGCGAGAAAAAGAGGAAGGCAAGGCAGAGAGGAACAAGCGACCGCTGCTAAACAAACTGGCCAAATTAAGAGCGGCAGTTTGCGCTAAAGTTTTTTCGTCGTTTCACTTAGGCGATTTCAACCGGTCTCAGGGTTCGAGCGAATTTATTAAGAACGCACGTAGAGAGAGCGCGCATTATGCGCGCACACTATGCGAAAGATCGCAGTTTCTAAGTGAGTCGCGACCATTAGAACGAATCTCGGGGATTTAATGTCTCTGCCGCCTCCCAGCCGGCTTAAATAAGGCTAAATGAAGTTTACGCGTTATTGCCGGCAGAACTTCCGGTGGACGCGTTGGTCTCTCGTCGAGATACCAAGCACGTTATCATTCCACGATTTCAAATAGTTATATAAACACGCGATACACGATCAGACCGATCCCCCCAGGCGAATGTCTCTTATATCGGACAAAATCAAAGATATTCTTGGGCGCAGCAAGAAAATTTTGAAAATTACTCGCTCGTTAAATTAAAAGTATAATATTACAAGACTATCATTTCTTGTTATTATTTGCAATTTAGATTTAGAATTAGAACTAGTCGATTTTAATCGTGATAAGGATGAAAGATCGTTGTAGTTAGATGATAAGGATAAATCGACGCCCGTAAACTATGACAACCGATATCGAATAGACGGATATTTATTCATTCATCTTTGAGTCACAGCCAAATTTAAATCGTCGTTCTTGTTCCAGAGCGACGGAATAATTGAAGAGATTAAAGATGCAAAAGAAAACTTTCGATTGGACGCTTCTCATCGCGCGTCCTGAAACCGAATAACAGGTGCCGTAGCTTGCGACCGCGTCGGATGCGAGGTGGATGGGCTTCGGATTAAGCAAATGGCGGCAATAATAGTGATTATTCGGATTATGATATCAGAGCGCGAAGTGGGTTCGCTTGGACTTACCGGCAACCACTAACTGCCGCGCCGCCAAATCCTGACTTCAAGACACCGGATTAAAACTATTACCACTTCGCGGCACCCCTTCGGTCTTATTCCGCTTCATTTCAAGCCCACCTCTCCCGTTTGTTGCATCCCCCACGGACCCGTACGATTCTCTCACCTTCGCGAAAGGCTCGTTTGCCCTTCTCGGATGTTTTAAATGTCCCCGAGGATCAAGAATCTCTGGCAGTTCCGTTTGCACAAAATCGCCCAGAAGGAAAATGTACGGAATGGTGATGTTAATGCAGTTTTTATTTTACCAGATTAATGACGAAATACTTTGATTTGTGATCTATTTGTCACATATAGAGCATAGTCGCGTATTAATAAGAATACATAATTGTTTACGTGAATATTTTTGTTTGTTTTAATATAGATATAATAATTATCTTTTCGCTTACTTTTCGTGAGATATATTCATAAGCAATTTTGAGAAAAATTTGTTAAAATATAACATAAATTTTTATATTTGTTAAAAATTTAATTTTCAATGTCGTAGATATTAATTAATGAATTATTTGATTTATTGTAGCACGATTATTATCTACTATCAATTGGAGTTGAATACTTAATATTTTGTTTTTCGAATATTATGTTTTGGGAGACACCCTGTATGTATAATATATTTTCTAGATTTTGTAATGTTACTTACATATTTATCTAATATCATCGAATTGTTTAACTTAGTCGACACATATACATTAAGCATGGTCTGACATAACAAGTAGTGTTACTACTTGGATTTAAGTCTGGCCAGTTACGTCTTTATTCACTGATTCAAATTATATATGACAATAATAAAAATCTTTATCTTTTTATAATTTAAATTGCGTTTCTAACATGCAAAAGTAGAATCTTTAAACTCCTTATCTTTTCAAATTTCACACAATGAGTATAAATACATAAAAATAGAAAATCTTGAAAATTATATAATGCGGAAGACGCACTCGTAAGGTGTTAGTATAAATATAAATAACACATAGTAAATAACGATAAATAACAACAATTTAGCCCAGTAACAGTTTACTCTGCTCCTAAAGGCAGCGGCAATACCCTTCGCGATAATCGCTATAGGAAGTAAGTACAATTCCTACCGCGTAATGCGGCCACAGTGTGGGTGGATCGTGCTACACCATCGCGAGTCCCGGTATTAATTCGACAACGAATTGCGAAAGCGGCGCCATTCCGCGCGGCGGCCGGAAGATCGTCGCCTCTTGGTTGGCCCGCGCGGCTAATTATTGTTTTAAGGATTACCGTTATGTGTTTATTATGCGGCCTGTGGAGGACCTCGCTCTGCCTCCCCCGGTCACCCCCTTACCACCTGCCTTAATATTCGGTAGATTTCAGCTTCTCGGAACGGCGGAGAGAAATCTACGCCGTTTCTTCTCTCACTCCAACTCGCCCTCCCTTCTCCTCCACTAAAAGTCAGCCTACGTTTATGAATAATTCTCACCTCTTATAACCAACCCCCTCATCTTCCCCGCCAATCCACTCGCCAGCACCGCGAGCGTCTCTCCGAACCGTTCTACGGTATATTCGCCTCGTAAACCCCTAATGCCTGCTCTTCATCTGCGAACTCCCAGATTCCGAGCTCCGCGAAACAAGCGAGTCACCGCAGCAAAAAATAGAAAATAGATAATTGGCACAGTATATAATTAGGTACAAATATTTCTTAATTGATAACTTTATTATTTAAGATATTCTCGTAGCACATATGATTTCGATTTAAAAAATATAGAATATTAAATATTATTTTATTTATTAGAATTTATTATTATTATTAGAATATTATTATTATTACAGATTATTTGCAGCCTATTGTCGTAAGAGTATAATTATTGAGATTTTTTTTATTGAATTTTTTTTTTTTTTTTTAATAAAATTATAATAGATAAATTGCATTGCAGATTAATTAATAAAATATAATATATAAGATACATAAAATATATATAAAAGTATATAAAAGTTATATGTAAATAATAATTTTCTTATTATTTTTATAATTCGTCAAGATTCTTTTTGATAATTTTAAGAAACGAATTATCGTATGCAATATAATGAAATATCGTTTATTTTCGTAGTATCAGGCGATTTATTGCCCCGATTATCTTTACGACGCGTTGGCAACAAATGATAAAACCGCAAACTCCGGCGATATCGCCGCGGTACGTACACGGTGAATTAAATTTATATCTTCTAGATCGAACAAAAAATGCAGATTCACATTCACATTTGGTGTGAAAGAAATATTTGTCTGGGCACGTAATGTTTATGGCGGCGCAAAAGTGAATGTGTGGATATGCCGGCGACTATTTTATATCTTTCGCACGACCACACATTCCTCAAAATTTATATTAAAAACCATCGTATCGCGAGTTACTGTTTGCACAATGTAACTGCCAGATTGCAGTTTTATCACAGCCGAAAAATATTTAGCTTTATACCGCACTTCGAACTGCGCCGACGCAGTCATACTTACTCTACAATTAAATATAAATTGATTTTTTTTTTTTATATACATATTAAACATTATTCATACGCGATAATACAACCAAAATCGCACTAAATATACAGATAGTAAATAGATTTCAAAA